CTTGAACCCATATTTTAGTTTTAGGAAATACTGACTCTGGACGATTTTGATGTTTTGCTAACCCTTTGACATAAAGATTGTACATGCTAAACATTTTTGTCTAATATTGACCATCAGAATACAATATTTGTGCCTTGTTTTTATCTGATTGTTTTTTTCTTAAATGTATTTGGAACTCCCCCCAGAGACAAGTCAATATGGTTATTAAAGGATTCGGCTATTGACCTCTTAGTCCTGGGTTTAACTTTGCTGAGGAGGGAAATTGAAGGCTATGGTAAAGAATATTGAACCAATGTGTGGGACCCAGACCAGTTATGTAGGAGGCTTAGTTAGAGACACACCCCTTTCCCGCGGCACCATCAGTGCTCAGGGTATATCATGAAAGAGGGAGCAAAAAGGCCCTAGGAACAAGAGGACTGGGCTGAAATAATGCATCCAAGACAGGTGCACTCATGAACTCATGGCAGCTGTTGCCTGCACAGGACTTGATGCTAGCAGTCTTCAAACTGGGCCTGTTTTCTGAGGAAAACAGAATAGGAAATTCTTAGCAACCAATTGAAAGAAGCCAGAATCATGGGTTACCCTGTTGTCCAGTTCCCTAGGCTTTAACACACAGAGAAGGAAAACAATCTGGAAGCACCTGATGCCAACAGTCTCTTCCCCTCCCTGGACCCTTATTCCGGTTCAGGCTACGTCTCCGACCTGCCTGTGCTATATCCACCATCTGTTCAGTAGCCTGGGTGCCGTCCTCCTCTGAATCATGGAATGAGCAATCAGATCCTTAGATCTGATGTTGCCAACATCGAGCTCTTGGTAAGTGCTGTTCTCTTGAGAGATAGAGATAAAAATAGAGAAGCTGAATTATTTTGGCAAGGTCAGTCAAAATATCTTTGTTAGACAAACAACATATATTTCAATAAAGACAAAAAAGGGCTTTGCAGAACAACATATAAGGAAAATTAGAGTAGTAAAAAAAATGAAATCTTGGTGTTCCAGACTTCTCTCCTACAGACTCATCACAGTGACCTGATGCCTCAGTAAGTCACGGAGAAGTTTAAAATTCCATCAATTGAAACAGAATGATGTGCTCCTTCGCAAGCATTGTTTGGTGGCTTAGTTTCCCCTTCTGTTTCTTAAGAAGGCTATGGAGGGAAGTGTGGTGCACAGAAGTGGGTTACATTGTGCTTGGACTATCCTAGGAGAACCAAGGGCCTCTCTTTGAACCCAGCACCTGGGTCTTCGTGCAATAGAAATGAGTTTTCAAAGGGCAGTGCCAGGGTATGATTTTCCTGAGTTCAAAGACACTGTTATGCGATGATTTCAGTTACTTAAATGTTGTTGCCTTTCCCTCAACATTAATTTATCTTCAAGAGATCGCCTTGTACCTTCCTACACACACACACACACACACACACACACACACACACACACACACACACACACACAGAGCCCATGGGTGTGTTGGCTAAGCCACAAGTCAAGGAATATACAAGTGTCACTAAGTAGAACACGTCAGAATCTGATCACTATTAATCTGAATGTAATGGTCCTTAGTAATACAGGACCAAAAACTAGACTCTTAGAATTTAAAAGAATAGACATACTAGCCTCTAGTTAGGGAAGTCTTCTGCATTTCATGCTTTGTTATTTATTTATTTTTTGGTTCTATGTAGGAGGAAAATTGCTACTGATTTTCAGGTGAGGAATATCAGTAGACACTCACAACTGAGAGGGCAGCTAGTTCACTAGCCACAATTCCCTTTCATAGTGTGTCACAGGCTTATTTGGCAAGCTTCTAATTTGTTTACTTTGAAAAACAATTCTATGTATTTCTCTCTCTTACCCAGTATCAAAATTAGCCTTCTGAATAACATGAATGACTAAGGACGGAACTCTCAACACAATTTCTGTGCTGATATGAACAACTGAGTATCAGATGGCCTGACAGCTAGAGAGGCATGCAGTGTGTCCGGGTCATGAGATTTAAGCCACAGATCTAGACACAAAGCCCAGGATGACCTTGACACTAAATACTGTTCATATTTTCTGTTTTATGGAATGATAACATTTAAATTTTTACAAACACGGTAATTACAATAAAGCTATACTTCTTTGTTAGCTCCAGTCACAGAACTGATGGTTTGGCCCAGAGGAAGACAAGTAACTCACAGCTAACCCACTCTGCAGAGTGCGAAGGCAATGTTGGAACATGGGGTCAGGTAATGATTTGTGTCTGTGTGGGACATTGGAAGCCACTGGCTCCTATGACTTTGTATTTGGTATGTGAATGTGTCAGCACGGCCAGTAGGTTGATGGTTTATGTGGGTAGACTCAATCGTGCCCTCTGAAAATAGGAAAGGGCAGAAAGCTTGTGCTATGAGAGAGTAAACTGCAGAGTGTTCTGGTCCTGAAAAATCGAATATAAAGGGACCCAGAACCAAACCTGGGACCCGGAAGGTGCTGGCGCTTTTAGAAAAGCTGATGACGTGTTAAACTATGGAACTAATAAAATTATACTTTGCAAACCGCTCTGCCCCCCCAAAAAGCTGATGACAAAGCTGATTCCATTTGTCCAGGCTGAAGGTGGTTTCTTTCTAGACACAATGAACTTAAGACACAAGCAGGGCTTTCACATCCAGGAGAGTTTCAGATGTGCTTCTGTAGCTCAAGGGAAATCATAGATTCATGGGTACATCCAGGAGGGCTTCAGATGTGTGTTTGTAGCTCAAGGGAAAGTGTAGTTTGGAATCGCCTCCAGATTGGGGCGTTACTACAGAAATGAAGAGAACTAGGTCCAGAAGGGGACTGTAGCAGAAGGAGAATGGTAACTGTACTGGGAAAAGGATCATCAGAAAGCTCCCTGGCATAGTCCTGAAAGGAAACAATTGTAAATTAAATTGAATTAACATTTAAACACCTTGGTATTTTAAAAATATATTTTGATTAAAATTTAACTACATTCCTTTCCTCCCCTCTGGTTCTTGATCTTTGAAAGATTCTATAAGAACAATCACAGATGGGAGTAAAATCTTACAGGCAATATATATATATATATATTTGTATATGTTTAATGCATATATGTATATGTATATATATATATATTACATGTAATGACATGAAAAAAGGGAAAATCTAGAGGAAGGAAGGAGGGAAAGAGAGAAATTGTAGACAGGGAATGAAAGGAGTTGACTATGGTCAAAACCCGTGAAGGTATTTATATGAAAAAAACTATATACAATGAATATGCACCAATGAAATGAAAAAATGACTGCACTCAGAATATATAAAGAACCTCAGAACTCAATGATAAATCAAAATCTTGACAAGTAGAAAAAAGTGAACACTTGCATACACATGAGAAGATATTTCTTCCCCAGTATACATTTATAAACATTTAGCTGTTAGCATTCTGCTTCAAGAGAAAAAACCAAATAATTTGATATTCTATGTCCATGTCTGTATGAGTTGAGAATATAGGGTTTCGCATGTCCTTTTGTTGAAATATTAGCTGAATGAATCAGACTGAGCCAATTTGAGAATTAAGTCACATGGCTCCAGAGTAAAATCTCTTGGCCATGGTATTCTCAGCCTCTTCAGCAACCAGGAAAAGGTACTGAACACTTATCCTGTGCCTCTTACTTCATCACATACTGTAGTGATATACAGAACTGATTAAATATAGTTTCTTTATGGAGGGGCTTAAAACCTTAAAACCCTTGGATACATCCATCCATGGTCAAGTTTAACAAGAAGTCTGTCATATGAAGAATATTATCACCTCTAAGGGAGGACAGGGTCTGACTATGGCAATTAGAGACTATTGAAGCTATTCTCAGACTTTCTTGTTTTAGAAAATCACAGTGGAAAGAATGCAAGAATTCAGATAAGCAAGACTTGAGCCTTCTGAACAGTCTAGAGTCTTCTATGATCTAATATGCAACTATAATTTTTTAGAATACATATTTATTATATATCTCTTTCATGCTTGCCAGGATTTTATAATCCACTTTGTTTCTAATGACTTGGTATAAATAAGAATGATCCCTATTCAGACAAGACGATGAGCTAATTCAACAATCACCCCCATGTTAGGACCTCCACTACCCAATGAGCCAACCTCTTAGGTATTATCTCATCAACACTAAAGACTCACCTTCTGTCCCCTGAGTTACTGTTTTTTTTTTTTTTTTAAGAGGGTGCAGCCCTTTTTCCAGAATGAGACATGCGAGGGCAGATTGAGGTAGATATCAATGATACAAACCACAGAAAAATTTCAATTAATGGACTCCGACTAAAAAGAAATGTTTCTGAAGCTGCAGTAGCAAAAGCCAGCTTGTGAGACATCACAGCACCTCCCCTTAAGTTTCAGATTCACTCTACTATAGCCCCTCAGTCTGGAATGAAGACAAGTGTGTGTACATCCTCTAAAACTGCTGCAAATGTGTGTGCCTCTAAAACCTGGGGCTGCAGCCGGGGAGGGGGAGGGTAAGAGAAAAGAAAGGGGATGGGTGAGAAAGGGCAATGGAGAAATAGAACTCAGAGGGAAGGAAGAAAGCAGAATGAGCCAGTGAGACCAGTGGAGATGTGAAACCGAAGGACCAGGGGGAGGGGAGAGGTAAAGCCAGATTTTTATTGGAAGCGATTGAAGTGGTTGCTATGAGACCCGCTCCTGCAGAGGACCAGCAGGCAGCCCGACGCTGATGGTTCTTGTCATGCACTAAAGCTTTCCTTTGACACAGTTTTAGAGTTGTTTACTATCTGAGCAAGCACCTGACACTGGTGACTTTATCTTCCTTTTTTTTCCTCCTCGGGTCCCGCGGGTAAGATGGAAGTAGAAAGCGAAGCCCATTGCTGCCCTGGCAGCTCCTCAGGCGGGTCCAGAGAGTACAAGGTGGTGATGCTGGGCGCAGGGGGCGTTGGTAAAAGCGGTAAGTTTTCAAATGCCGGGGGAAGGAGGGATCCGCGTAGAGGCAGCTGTATAGACCACAGCAGTTAACGCAAGAGCATCTGGCAAGGTGATTAAAAGTAAAGACTTAAGGGGAAGCTCCTGAGTCAGGAGAATTCAGAGACAGCAGTCATGATGTGTAGAACTTTGAGAGGATAATTTGCTCCTTTAATTTCATACTGTGCAATATTTGTTCTGGGCTTATGTGATCTTTACATTAGTGGTGAAATATATTGGACAGACACGTGAGAGAAATTTTCCACCCTTCTGAAAAATATACAAATTAAAAGAGAATTTCTGTAGCTATTTAGTTAAAGAGGTAGTCACAAACAGGCTCATCCACAGAATCTTCCGAGCCGGTTGTTGGAGGTGTTTTGTTTGCTTGTGTTTTGATGAAGAGTGAGTGTCCTGTCTTTGATTTTCTGTGTGCATGTGCAGGCGTTACTATCAAAAAGTTGGATTTTGAAAGTGGTAGTGGTTTACAGAATGTTTTTCACTGTGGGAGCCGAGCAGGGTAGTCGAGCCAGGCTTTGTGGTTAAGAAAATTGAAGGAAAGCTGTGAGAAGAAGGAGTATGAGGTAGGAATGAGAGGAGGAGATGAAAATTCAAGCCGTCGTATCATAGCAGAGTTGGCAATCAATGGTTTGTTTCTCCAGGAGCTTAAAACATCAGCTAGAACAGACGAAATGAGCAGACACCCAGTGATGCTTCAGGCTGAGTCTCACAAGCTTGGTTATGGGTAGGACACGAGCCGATAACATATTCCATGTACGCTTGAGGGGATTCCCACTGGGGATATGTGTTTATGCAGAGTGATCCTGAACAAGTATTACTAAAGAAATTCACTATTTTAGTTCATGGAAATAAGAGTCACAGTTGAGGACCAACGGAACAAACCAGTGACTTTGGTGTACATCTAACCAGAATGAAAAAGTTGAGAAGTAAAGGGAGGAGCAAAGGTAGTGACTATAGTGTACAGGAAACATAAAGAGGCCAGAAAGAATAGTAATATACAGAAAACTCCCTTTCTATCCAAAAATGAAATAGCATGGAAGGGAGGAGGGAGTCAGGTAGGTCTAAAAGTGGTAAAACGCTGTGTTAACAGAAGGGAGTCATGCCATCTAGGAAGGAATCATGACATAAAAGCTTTATAACTTTAGAAACGAGGAATTTAAAAACATTTCATTTTCTGCTTAAGCAAGCAATGGCTTAAGGGGGAAAATAAATGTAGAGTAGAATTAGTGAGAGAAGCAACTAAAGGGTATGAGCTATATAAGCAAGGCTAAGCTTTGAAAGGATTGAAAAAGAGACCGAGATGGATAGAGACACAGAGAGACAGAGATGGAGGAGAGACAGAAGAGTGTGCTGAAGAAGAGGTTGGAACCCATCACTGTGAGAGAGTCTTCTCCCGGCAGCAGGTGAGCTGAGACAGATGTGGCGAGAGTCCGAGAAGCCACGAGTCATTTGTGTGCTAGCTGTTGTTGCCTTGTTTCTACAGGACATGGGCAGCATGGAAAGGAAGAAACTTGTCAGCCTGTTTCCTGGTCTTAGACCTGGAATTCTAGCTGAAGACAGTGCCAGAAGCAACTTCCAGCTGGTCGTTTACTATGTAATCCTGTGATAGATAACAGTGGTCTACTTGACCTTCCTTCCTGTTGGATTTTACTGACTACTCATTGTCACTGACCCAATAGCTGGAGATTTCCAACAGCTGAACTGCTTTTATCTTTACTTTACATGAAAGAGATGCATTTATCACCAAATGTGGAGCAAAACATTTCTAGTGTAATACAGACAGCAGCAGGCAGCTGGCCTTTACAGAAGGTGAGGGGTAGAGCAGGGTAGCCCCGTGGTTTCTCTGATTAAATGGCATGCTTGGATAAGACTTCAGAAAACATTATACATATTAATATTTCCACACCAGGAGATTTTCCTCTGAGTTTCACAATAACGGAATCCCATCTTGATCTTGAACCAGCATCTTCTCGGGTTTATTTTGGGCTATCAGTATGCAAATATTCATTACTGATCTCATTACTAACCTTTTGAGAGTTGAAATGTTTGCCTTCAAATGAACTAAAATGTCTTTAAAAGACATTTTTGTGTGAGTGAAGATTTGAATTAATAGAGAAATTTCTTGAGACTATCTAGCCTGCACCTTTGTGTCCAGTGCAGGGATGTTTGGGAGGGGCACCTCTCCAAAAGTTAATGAAGCTACATAAAATTCTTATCTATTCCCAGTTCTGAGTATCAGGTTGGAGTCATCCCTGATCAAGGACAAGAAAATTAATACAGTGTTACAAAAATTCCTAAATGAATAAAATCTTAAGAGATTTTCTGTGTCTGTTGAGAAATTACATCTCTCTTTAATCCATGATTTACTAAAACATACTATGATGAGTCAAAACATTTGAATGGACTTGTTACTTTGCTGAATAACAGTTTCTGTAAGACTTAACTATGTAGGAGAATCAATGTTTTATGTGGGAAAGTTTCAAGCCATGAGCAACCGATCAAGTTTATTGAGTATGTGTTATGCACAGACCTTCGGTGGCTACTCCAATGGGAAAAGATGAAGGAAGGAGATACTTAGGAAGAACCCGGTAGTAGTGGCAGGCAACATGTATTAGATGCTCACACATTTACTCCTCACAATGGCGATGAAGTTTATGTCCAATTAACAGACTGAAAAATCGTCCAACAATTTGCACCTAGTCAGAAAAAAAAACACGGAGTTCTAAGGCACTTCATCCAACTCCCCCGAATTATCTTTCATATACTGAGGAAGAAAAGTGAGGACTTCTGTCACTCACCATCAAAAAGAAAATAGGGCTGTTGTAAACGCAATATTTTTCCTTGAACATTATAACAATAACTGTTAGCTGTCTACAACAAAACTCTTTTGAATTGATACAATTAATATTATACAGACAATTTAATCTGTATAATATAAAAATATAGGCATATCTGTATGATTAATTACCACATCCTAATATTGCTCAATAACGTTTCAAGTGCAGAGATACAGGGATTAACAAAAATCATCTCCATCCAATTTGGATGATGGAGAAATTGAGAGTTGAAAGGATTTGTGGTACACGGGTGAGGTAGGCGATTTGTACCCATAATACAACTTTCTCAACACACTGGTTTTCCACCATTGGCTTTACAGAGGATGACACAGATAAAATTGGACCACACAATATGCACAGAAAATAGCAGGTTAGTAGGATGCAGCCTGTAGAGCTAATGTGCTATGAAGAATATAGGCAATGGTATCACACTGTTTATTAAAGTTTGTGAGATCAGTAATTTTAGATGTTCTTGTTACCCAGGAAAACAAACAAACAAGAGCAAATGGGGTAAGTATGACATGAGGAGTGTACTGCTTTATTTCAGCATGGTATGGTCAAACCTGCTATTTACTTGGGTCACATTGGAGGTCTGAAGCACAGTCATGTGCTCTGTAGCAGACTTTTACTCAACGGTGACAGTACCGTGAGATTATTATAATGGAGTTAAATAACCCTTGTGATATAGTTATCCTAATATCATAGCACAGCTCATCATTCACAGGTTGCACTTACATATTTGGGAATATATATGTATACGCATACACATATATGGATGTAGTGACGATTAATGAAAATTGAGGCCATGAATTTGAAAGAGGCCACAGAGAGGTGTATGGGAGGGTTTGGAGGGAGAAAGGGCAAGGGGGAAATTATGTAATTATAATCTAAAAAAGAGAAAATAATTAAAAAATAAAATGAGAAAAATAGTTAATAACTATGCACGAGCCCAATATTTATATAAAAAGAACAGATAAAATGCTTATGTGTGTTTGTGTCTGATAATGTTACAGCAAATGAGAATAGAGTGAAAACCCATGTGTGACATGCATTGCAAGCATAATTGAAAACAAACTAAGGGAAAAGTTCGATTAGACCAGTGGTCTTGAGGTGTGCTATGCATGTTTTGGCCTCTCTTTGTTATAGGATTTGCAACGCTGTCTTCTAGTTTAGAAAAGAAACCTCATAGGTGTAGTGGAAGAGTTTTGCTGAGACTCGGTAGTGCTTAAAACTATGTACAACACTGAGATTTCTCATTGTTTGTGATTTGGGCAATAACTCTGCTCCAGTGTCTTGGTGTGCTGGATTGCGGTTTGCTTTCCCTGTGTTCAAAAGCAGCTGACCTAGGGCAGACATGAGCAGAGCTAACCGACAATGTTGTTATCTTGTTTTCTACATTATATAAGATCATTCTCACACTACTTGATAACATAATAATTCAACCAGGCCTGTAAGTCATCTACCAGGTTTAGATGAAGTTGAGACAACTATTCAGAGATTGGGCCAAGAGTACACGCCAATAGGAACAAGGATATGAAAGCAATTAAGGCTTTCTAGTGACATGGTTTTCCACTGAACTGAATTGGAAGAACAGATAGCACAGATCTTGAAGTTGGCCTGTTGAAACTATGTCTTAACGTACATTTTAAATGTCAAGTCTTTATGAACCGCGACAGAAGCCACTGAGAAGGCAGATAATTTATTCTTGACCTGGATTTTTCACATTGTTCCTGACCTCCAGGGTATACCCATTTCATAGAGGAAAAATGGTACACAATACAAAATAACAATAGACCTCTGGTACAGATAGTTCAGGTTCAAGGATGTCTATATCTGGATATGAGAGCTAAGCATATGTCACAACAGGTAGCATTTGTGCATTACTAGATGTGTATGCATTTGTGATATTGAGAAGAAACAGTGTGGAGAGTGATGAGAAACATAATTTAACAGACAGTATAATATATGTAAGGGCAAGAAGGAATTTAGACAGGAATTTCAGGAATATGTCTTATAAATTAGTGTCTTCTAGGAGTAGTGGGGAAAATATATACTGGACTAGGAAAGATCTTAGGCAACTGAATATATATATTAGCATATGTACATATATATGTGAGTATATTAAAACAGAAGACCTACACATACAAAAGTATTAGAGAACTAAGAATTGCCATAACCATGACATCATAAAATGAAAGTTTATTTGCAAACCAAGCAAATATATTCTTCCACATTCCTTTTCAATTTATCTCTTTTGTAAATTCATAATTTTGTATAGTGGGTTTTAAATCCATCATTTTATGTAATATATTTTGTAAAAGAAAAGCAAAGGAACTATGTTCTGCTATCAGAAGGCAGCCCACACAAGACTCACTTCAATCTCAGTGAGTTCCTGTAAATAGTAGAACCGAGCCTGTATCTGACGTATTAAGTAAAGGCAAAAGGCCAAGTATATTATTCATATCCCTCGGCCCTAAGGCCTGGTGTTTGACCTTTTAAGTGAAACTTTGTGTTTAAGCAAGCTGAACAGCTGTCATATCATCACCACATGTGATGCTGTGGATTCTGCAAAGGCAGAGGAAAAATAAGGGAAAAATAAAAAAGTTCTTAAGACCCAAGTGTCTCTGTCCTCACCCTCAGTCATTATGCACCGCAGACTGTCAGTTAATGTAGTGCTGTCACAAGAATCATCCAGAAGGTTCAAATACAGCTCACTGGGAAATGGGAGACTGGCATTCACTCTCTCAAATGATGTCTGGAAACAATTCAGGTCAAAGGTATTGATTGATACTATTTCCAAGACAATATGTGCTCTACCGAGATTGAACTTATGAAAGACAGTTAGTAATGGTTCATACGTTTATTAGACAAGTGACAGGAGATGAATGAGCCTGTGTTAGTCCCTAAACCTCCCCTGTGTTGGCAGCCCCTAACATTCTGATAGTGTGCTGCTGGAATGGCCTCTAGCTAGCATATCCACCAGCCCTCACATGCAGCTCCCTTTGATCTGTAGCAATCTGCATTTTATGAAAGAGAAGACTCAGGCTTACATCAAAATTAATTTACAGTGTGCCCAAAGATACACAGAGACTAAATGAAAAACCCAAGTTCCTGTGCATATGTAGAAAGGTTTGATTTCATTTTTTGGGGGGGGAGAGGGTACTGTGCATCTGAGTTCTAATGACAGCTGCATCTTCACTGATGTTTTCTAGATGCTAGGCAAGATGTGTACATCAAAGCTGAAGAATCCAACATTCTATCCTGATGGCAGCAATGACACCCTTATTTGAATGGGATGGGGAAACATGAGAGGTAGACAGGAAGGTCAACAACTGGTTTATTGAGGGAGTCCTGGGGACCTTGGATACACAGAGAAAGGGTGATAATCTCAGCCAGAGACCGCCAAGTAACTCTGAAAATGGGAATTTACCAAAAGTTGCAGGATTAATGAATAAAATAGTGTGTTGAATATATTAGACATATTTAAATCTATGAAACATTGACCTATCTTTGGTAGTATTTCATCTATCATCTATCTATCTATCTATCTATCTATCTATCTATCT